GGGTTTAGGGCTTGGGGTTTAGAGCACGTCCTTCCGGTTCTCTTTACGATCTGAATCTAAACACAAGAGCAGACAAGGTTGCAAGCACAAGGACACTCGAGTCCTCAAGCCTAAACCGCATCCCGGGGATCGACAAGCTAAATAAAAGCCTCCTGAATCATGATTCAAAACCATTAACGCCCAAAATCCTACAGAACCCGTACAGTAACCCCTCATTCTAGAACCTGGTATAGTACTCCTGATTAAACCCTCGGTAGAAATCTTTATGGAATCCGCTAAACCTCAACCGACCTATACCCTAAACATCCCGAAATGCCACCAAAGCCCTAAACCCTGAAGCCCTTAAGCAGTAAAGCCCTGAAGCCTTAACGGCCAAAAGCCCCAAAGCCTAAACCCGAAACACTAAACCCTAAACCCAAGGCCAAAAGCCCCAAAGCCTAAGTCCTAAACCCTAAAGCCCAAAAAAGCCGAAAAAGCCCCAAACCCTGAAACCCATAAAGTCCTCGCGCCTCCAGTTCAGGCCCGGAGATCTGATACTCATCGCCTCTCGTGGCTAACTTGCTCAGGGTTGAGGGTTTAGGGTTTAGGATCTGGGGGCTTTCGGTCTTTTTGCGATTTAGGGCTTTGGGATCTAGGGGCTTTCGGTCTTTTGGGGATCTAGGGCTTTGGGCTTTCGGTTTTTTGGGATTTAGGGCTTTGGGGTTTAGGGGCTTTCGGTGTTTTGGGGGTTCTAGGCTTATAGGACTTGAGGCTTTAGGGTTTAGGCAAAACCTTCGGGTTTGGGGCACTTCCGAGAACCCCTAACCGCAAACCTTAAACCCTAAACCCGAAACCTCCCATGACACTTCACAGAACTCCTGCTGGAGGCTTGCCCCATCGATCCTGGAACTCTGTCCCTACCGAACCCTAAACCCTAAACCCTACACTCTATACCCTAAACCCTCAACTCTACTTCAACCCTAAACACTAAAACCCTAAACCCTAAACACTAAAGCTCTAAGCCCTAAACCCTAAAATCCTAAACCCTAAACACTAAACCCCTAAACCCTAAACCAGCCACATCTTGCGGCTTTGTGGCGAAGGCCAATGCCATCACGCCGAAAGGTCGCGCCGACCTGCTCGGGGATTGTGTTTAGGGTTTTGGGTATTGGGTCTTGGGTTTATGGTTTTGTGTATTGGGTCTTGGGTTTATGGTTTTGGGTTGAGGGTCTTGGGTTTAGGGGGTTCGGGTTTAAGGTTTAGGTTTTAGGGTTTAGGGTTTAGTTTTTAGGGGTTTAGGGTTTACGGTGTAGGGTTTTGGGGGGGTTTGCTCCTGGCAAGAGTAGGACTAATCCTTGATTGTGCGAGACTTCAATACGGAGATGAGAGGTGCCACCTCGTCGATGTTGCCTGCCGCCCAGGCTTGCACCATCGCTTCGAAACGCTCCTGTCTGCAAAGCGGAGAGAGTTTGTATCAATACCAGCAGCATCAGCCAGACGCAAAGCGGTGTAATCATGGTCGTCGTGTCGTTGTCATCATGATGCTCATAAGCTTAGTCATCATCTTACTCAACCTCAGTTTCCATCAGCAACACCAGCAAAGGCCTCACACGCATCCCAACACCATCGGCATCATCATCATCATCATCATCACCATCGTCATCATCGCCATCATTGTCATCATCCGGCACATCATCACTACTTCTTGGTCGTGCTACCAAGAGCAAGAGCGCTGCTGGCGTGATGCCTGCTATCTGGACGAAGCTACTTCCAACATGTATATGAAGAATAATATTGTGAATCTAAAATGTAAATAAAAAGCTAGATATGTAGCGATCTGTGTTTGTGTGTGTATATACATACATACAGACATATGTATATATATATACACACATGCACATCTGTTTCGACTTATACTTATACCTCACAGTTATCTTTTTATGCGATATCTATGTGCATACTTCGATTTCGGTTTGTCGTTATCTATTCTGCAAGTAATTGACTCAAACTTAGTTAGATGCGTTTTGAATATGTGTGTATATATATATAGAGAGAGAGAGAGGGAGAGAGTACACACATACAGAAACACTTAGACAATAGAGTCCAACGTGTACATATGCACCTTATCTCTGATGTATATATAGACGCGCTTGGTATTGTGTATGTACAACTCCCAAACAACTTCTGCATGAATTCTGGAGCCACCTCCTTGTTGGGGCCTTCATCATGCACCCTGCCCATCCTGCAAAAAGGACCCTAAACCCTAAACAAGTAAGCCCCTAAACCCTAAAGTCATCCTGCGCAAAGAAAAGGTACTCCAGCCGAAGGCAGTGATCCGGATGAGACGATCCAAACTCGGCGACAATCTTGTCCTCGGCTGCTCAGAAGTGCACGAACCAAAGAAGTTCTGTGTAACCAGATTCTCTTGGGAAGCTTGCTTCCGATCATCCCCTTACATGTAACCAAGCTGAGGGTCGTAAGTGGCACGATCCTTCACGTCACCAAGGCTGTGGATCTTGTAGCCCTTCTGTTGAAGAAGAGCGACGAAGTCCCGGCACTCCTGGCTCGGATTGCGGTCCAGGATTTAGGGTTTATACCCATAAGCTCCTAAGTAGTTCCTTTTTGGGATTACCTTATAGGATTCTAAATATGGACCACAAAATGGAACTACTTAGGAGCCTATGGGTAGCATTTAGGGTCTCGTGATGATTCATTACGTCTGAAGTTCAGCCCGGCAGTATCTCCGAATGTGGTGAATCTGAGCTGTGGGTGCTGCTCTTGCGGCACTCTTCTGCGTCTTTTTGACTTGCCTCTGCGCTCCCATTTTTGAGCCCCCGTCCGAAACGGCCGGGCGATGATGCTGCTGATGCCTTGGTGTTCTGGGCACAAAACCCGGAACGCTCCAAACCCCGAGAAGTCGACAGCAGCGTCTCCTGGGGCAAAGGCTAGGCAAAGGCTAGGCAAAGGCTAGCACTGTAGGGTTTAGGGCGTAAGCCTAAAACCCAAACTCCGACTTGAAGCAAACCACTCGAAAACCACAAAACTCCGAAGCCCCTTAACGACACGACCCCACCACTGACAGAACCCGACTTGACTATAAAACCCGCTTCCGGCACTCCTTCACCCGCACAGCATAGGTGGTCTTCTCCAAACCATGGCGGACGGTACCTCAGCGCTGTAAGGCCTTCTTGGCTTTGGACACCATGAATCCCTTAACCCGATAACATCCTACCAACAAAACCCGAGGGGCTGACTTCCTTCATTTCCTCAGTGATCCGAGGTACCGAAAATAAAACCTACTCTGCCACTGTGTACCGTACACCAGAAACCGCTATCCAGAAACCCTAAATCCTAAACCCCTGAGTGTTGCCAGTTGCCAGAGCACCGGTGTGCAGAGCAGCTATTCTGAACTCGTTGGTGTCCACGCCGAGCGGAACGTAGGACACCTCGCTGGAGCTCATAGGATTCTGCAGGACTTGGGGTCTAATGCCGGTTTGGGATTTAGGGTTTAGTTAGGGTTTAGGGAGTTGAAGCTGGAGCTGGGTCTGAGTAGTTCCTTTGGTTAGTTAGCAGCTGCAACCCCCCAAACCGTAAACCCTTGCAGGAATCATCAACTTGACAAAGTAGACTCATGAACCACTAAGCCCAAACGCGAGACTGCCCAGAGATAGTGAGGGTGCGTCATGAAGGCCTCAACTCTGCCATCGACAGGCTCAGACTTCCCGAGGACGGCGGAGGTTTCCCTAATTAAGGGTCCAAGTGCCTTACTATCATATGTTCCCCAATATAGTCATCCATACAAAACTGAGGGGTCCTTGGGACCCAAAAAAACAGAAGAGCAGCCAGAATCGTTACATTAGAAGTACTATTATTCGGGCTCGTTGGTATATAGTCGGTGTAATTATGGCCGCATGGACTCCATGGCCCTTATGCTATATGAATATATCCTCAGAGCCTGTGAGAACTTATAAGGCTTGAAACCCCACATCCCAAAAAACGGAGCTAAACATAAATTGCAATGTCAACAGCCAGAGAGGCACCAGCAGCATATTTGGAACAGAGTGCTGGGCTCCTTTATAGTATAAATATCATAAGGAACCCTAACTCCCTAAGGAAGAACATGGGTAATTATTGGAACTTCTATATTACGGGACATATTGGCCTGCTTCGTCTTTGGGTCGTAGCGCGTGCCCATGCCGGTCTTGGCATAGTAGATCATGATCTGGTCCAGGTTGCCACAGGGCGTTCCTGATGGGAGGCTTTGCGCTTTGAGGTTAAGGGATTGGAGATTGGCAGGAGAAACCGGCTCTAATTAGAAGCGAGCCTTTGGTCACAAACTCCACGGTGCCTGGTATACGCAAATTAGAGAGATGATGCCCCCTACGCATCGGCCCACCCAGCCACCCCACCGAACCGCCCCAGAAAACGACTCGCCCCCGAGTATCCGACCCTCTCGAGATCCGGGATATAAGGATCATGTCAACCGGGGGGTCTGGAGCCAGTGCGGAGGACTTCCTGCTTCGGTTTTCAAAGGGCATGGTCCCGGATGCAGAATTATCCACAAAGTTCGGCTGCTTCGAAGCTGCGTGTATTCTTACTGATTCTCCACAGTTATTACCTTGCCGGCAGCTCCGCACCCCGACAACGTGTACCGGATTTCTCCAGATTCACGCTCTTAAAGGCGTTGGCTTTCAAGCCCTAAGGGTCCATGTACACAAATAGTATACACATTGGCCCTAAAGTACCTATATGGGGATTACATTAAGGCCAAAGTATATACTATTTGGGTACATGGACCATTAGGGAAGGGCTCAATTGCCTGCGCATGCACTCTCCATGGACTTCGATGCGCAGGCGGATATGTGCCGTGTACGGATGCCGGTAGGCATGCACGTAGGTACGTATATACTAAGACTAGGAATACAACCATACGTACATTGTTATGCACACATACTTGCGTGCGGATACAAATGTATCAATATGTACCTGAATGTAAACGTTCACTTCCAAACATGTCGACGTTGTATTGGTATGCGCACAGTTGGTTCTATAATCTACGTATATATACGATGTGCATGAGATGTTATGTCTAGTCTGCTCTGCTTACAGTGGCCCCTGGGTTTGGACTCGAGCTCTACGTAGTGGGACTGCATCGAACCTCTCAAACTTCCGAGTGAGCCCGCAAACAGAGCCCTGTTGCAATCCCACGCAGTGAACCAGGAAGGGTAATTAGCAATCGCTGTACAGGAATATCGCGACCGAAAACCCCGCCATGCACAGAGTTGGTACGTCTAGGCTCCGATGTAGTCATTTTCCACCTGCTGCGCCATGGTAACCTTCGAGTTTGCTTCTGTTTGGCTTGCCTCTATGGCTTTTCCAGTGTAAAGTCCTAATTTCAGCAACCCCTGCACCCGAAACCCCTAAACCCTAAACCCGAAACCCCTAAACCCTAAACCCGAAACCCCTAAACCCCTAAACCCGAAACCCCTAAACCCCTAAACCCGAAACCATGAAACCCGAAACTCCTAAACCCTAAACCCCTAAACCCCTAAACCCGAAACCATGAAACCCTTACCCGAAGCCGAGCCGCGGCTCTCCGTGAAGTTGCTCTGGAGACTAGAGTGTTGGTGCAACTGAACCGTAAGCCCTAAAAAATAAACCCGAAACCCTAAACCCCTAAAGCCCCAAACCCTAAAGCCCCAAACCCGAAAACCCTGCCACCCTAAAGCCCCAAACCCTCAAACCCTGACACCCTAAAGCCCTAAGGCCCTAAACCGTGTGAGCGCAAACTCCTAAAACTGCAAAGGCGAGGCCCCCGAGCTCGAAGTCAAAGAAAATCAGAAGACACTCTTACTTGGGTTAGGGTTTAGGGTTTAGGCTTTAGGGTTTAGGCTTTAGGGTGTAGGGTTTAGGGTTTAGGGTTTACGGTTTAGGGTTTAGGAATTTAGGTTTAGGGTATATATAGGGTCTAGGGTTTATAGGGTTTAAGGTTTAGGGTTTAGGATTTAGGGGTTAGGATTTAGGGTTTAGGGCTGAGCCTCACTTCCATGCTCTCTCTGTGTGCCCTTTATTCAAAGACCAGGGCGCCACTCGGAAGTCTCCTTCTGGCAAGCTCTTCTTGTTCACCTTCAATCAAAGGAAACTACAGGTGGGGAGTTTAGGGTATATAGGGATTCTATAAGGCTTCTGTGAGGTATATAGACCTTCTATAGGGCTCCGATAACGGCAACTACCCACCTGAAAATGTCTTAGACTATGCCTAAGCCCTTCATGAGGCACCCGAGCGGACAGTAAGATTTTAGTATCTGCTCGGGGGCCTTATACTACAGTAGGCTTGGGCTCTGGAAATCTCAAGAATCTAAAGCATTAAACCCTCAAGCCCTGCAGCCCTAAACCCTCCAACCCTGCCAAACAAACCCTGCGCCCTACCTAACCACTACGACCCCAAAGCCCTAAAAACCCACAAAACAAGCCGAACAAAGCACACCCTAAGCCCGGAGGCTTGGGTGCCCGAAATCAGCAGCCCGAAACCGTCTTGAATCTAAAGCCTACACTCTGCAACTAACCATGAACCTTTTCAAGCTGGGATGTAAGACTTCATGGGCAAAACAGTCCCGGCCTCTAGCATTGTCAGCATGAGGTTAATAACCTCAGCAGAGAAAACATCAGGGGGGAGCCAGCTCCCACGAACAACCCTGAAGTTCTCTAAACTCCTGGGTTTAGGGTTTAAGGGTTTAATGGTTTAGGGTTTGGAGCTTTAGAGCTTACGGGTTTAGGGAAAGGCTCAGTTCCGCTTCGACGTGAAGTAGGCCTTTGTTGCTAGTACCATGCGTTCCCCAAATCAGCCCCCAAAACTACCTTTCCCCATAGTGCGTACATATAAACATACACACACATATATATATATATATGGTACCCCCCCCCCCCATTGA